TTCAAAGAAACACACGCGGATATCTTTTTATCAATCTTTTTCTTTTCTTTTCTTTTTTTTCTTTTTTTTTTTTCTTTTTTTTGTGCTCCTTCTTTTTCATTTTTTTCCTTCATTTCTTTTTTCTTCTTTTACTTTTTTCTTTTTATTTCTTTTAATCTTTTTCGTTCGCGTCCCTATCTCCTTTCCTCTTGACTTTCTTCTTTTGTACTTTTTCTGTCCTTTTTCTTTTTATTTTTATTATTATTATTATTATTATTATTATTATTATTATTATTATTATTATTATTATCATCATTATCATTATCATTATCATTGTCATCATTATTTTACTTTTTTTTTTTTCTCACTTCTCACAAAAACGTTTCTTTTCCTAGAACGACTTATGATCTTTTCTCGAGACTCGAAAAACCAAAGCTATCAGCGTTGTGGCGATCAGAACGAATGATTTATATCGTTTTTCTCATGAATATTAATGTAATTTACGTACGTAACTACAACTATAAAACGTGACATTATATTCCACTTTTTCTTCTGCTTTTCACAATTCATCCGATTTTTCTTTCTTTATTCCCAGTTCGAGTGCGATAGTCGAGTTTATTCTAATGGATAGAGATGACTTTACAGATTGATAATAATATGCGATAATATTTGAAATAGTTTGTGAATGATTTAGAATATTTTTCTAATATACATACATACATACATACATACATATATATATATATACATATATATATACATATACATATATATATATATATATACGTATATACATATTATATTTTTTTAATTGTACATTATTTATCTATATATTAAGACGCATCTTGAAAACGTTTCGTATGCAATCTAAATTTGGAACGAGATCCGTTCGTTATCGGATATAAACCAATCTCATTTCCTACGACAGATAATTAGAGCTTCGCTTGCTTGGATGGACCCTTCTCGTTAAGTAGCGTCAATTAAGTTTTCAGTCGTCGCTATCGCGCTTGCCTCGACGTCAAGGCGACGAGATGGATAACCACCGGAGACCAGCAGTCGTTCTCGTCGTCCTCGTTGTCGTTATCGTCATCGTCGTCGTCGTAGTCGTCGTAGTCGTCGTCGTCGTCGTCGTTGTCGTCGTTGTCGACCTCGTACCTACAATTCCTTCTCAAGCTTCATCATTTTACCTTCTAGCTTATACCTTGAATCTTCAGCAACTGCCACCATCGCTTTCATTAGCTTCGAGTATTCTCCATCTTTCTCTTCGTCTCTATCATCTTCGCCATGCCCCAAGAGTTTACTCATCCGTTACTTCGTTCTATCCACGGGTGATAAACCAACGGATAGAACGAGGACAACCGTAGGAAGTTCGTCGCGCGTCGAGCTCTCGATTCGCTCGAACGGAGCGTGCCCGCGCGAAATGAAGCGCGATGAGAAACTCCTCATCTGAGATTACCAACGGTTTTTGTGTGCGTACACACACATATATATATATATATATATAAATATATATAGTGTGTCACGTTTAAATCATTCTCTTAGCCAAATATCATTTAAATTTGCTATCGATAATTACGAAAGGCTAGAAGAGATTTGAAAATATCTTTTGTCATTCGAATCAAAGGGGATCATTTAATATTTGCAAGGATTTATTAAAATATATATATTCTTGTATGGAGAAAGAAATAAAAAAAAAAAAAAAAAAGGGAAAAGAAGAAAAAAGAAAAGGAAGAAAGTAAATATTTTAAATTCGATCAATGTACTATCTTTATATTATCCGTTTTTAGAAATTATCAGAAATCGCACGACGCATCGTCCATGATCGAAGATGTAGGTAGCGAGCCTTAAATGGTCGCCGCGCTTCTATAAGCTCATATACTACATAGGCGCGGAGTCTTCCAAGATGTGTGTGTGTGTGTGTGTGTGTGTTTGTGTTCGTGTTTGTGCGCGCGCGCGTGTGAATGCGTGTCTGCGGTGAGAACCAACACTTTTCTCACTCTCTCTCCCTCTCTCTCTCTTTTTCTTGTTACTTCTGTCGTTGCAGCCGCATGGTCACGTATCGCGTCTTCATGCGTGACGCGTACGCGAATTTGTGATTTGCATCGGCAAACCGCTCACGGCGAGCTACCTCGTTTCTCGTTTCCGATTTATCCGACTTTTCGTTTCGTCGAAAGCAGGATTCGCGAAACTAACTATAGACATATATATATACATTTATATATTAATATATATACATTTATATATATATATATATATATTTATATTCACGAGAAACTTTTTTTCTTATATTTTCTTTTCAATCGAAAGTAAATTATCGAAAATAATTTCGAGATTGTTTTGCGATTATCAAAGATCTATATAATATTATTGTACAGATAATATTACTCCGAAAGTGATAATTTGTTATTTTGAACCAGGGACGTTTCAATGTTCCGCACTATGTGTATGATAATTGCTCATAAATACTATTTGATTATCGCAAATCGATTTTACAAGGCTTCCGTCGCGTTATTGTTCCTACCTTATTATTTACGAGAGCGATGAAACTTTGCAAAACTAGTTCTTTTTTTTTTTTTCTTTTTCTTTCTTAATGGGACTACAAAACAATCGGTGACGAGTGGATGAAAGCGAGAGTTATGGTTGATTTTTTAAAGTCTCCTCTCATGTCATCAGATCTCTCTCTCTCTCTCTCTCTCTGTCTCTCTCTGTCTCTCTCTCGCTCTCGCTCTCTCTTACATATGTTAGGATTCTTTGACCTACTTTCGTAATGAACGTACTATAAGATTTGTCGCGATAATGATCGAGAAATAATGAATGATATATTTCATTTCAATATTACTATTATAATTTCTATGGAATATATGATAGATCGAGAATCTATTTCTTTTGTTTGTTATTTATTTTGTTTTTTTCTTTTTTGATAAACAAAAGTACAGACTTCTGTCGTCACTCTTGTTTCTAATGTTCGCTATTTGCTCCAGATACCAAAGAAGATTCTTAATCATCATCATCATCGTCATCGTCATTGTCATCATCATCATCATCATGAAAGAAACTCGAGAGTTACATACTGTTGGCGCTCCCTTCGTCGTTCTCGATACTGATGCGGTCACTTGACAAAGACCGAAGAACGCGGGACATGTTAGAACGGAAGGAGAGAAGGAGGGTTGAAAGAGGCACGTGCTTAGCGCCGGATCGCATCACGCCCGAGCTTCGTGGATGGGGATTAGAGGTACACGTAAAAGGGTCGAACGATGGAGGGTGCCAACGATGTTTTCTACCGTGACAGGGCAAACGATTTCTCTCTCTCTCTCTCTCTCTCTTTATATATATATATATATGTATTTCTCTCTTTCTCTCTTTCTTAAGGGTAACAAAGAGATAAGAAATTATACGCACAGTTTTACGCTAGAAATTTGTTAAAAAAAAAAACAAAAAATGGGACCAATCGAGAAAAGAGCGTTATCATACGAATCTTAAGGTTAAATAAATTTCTTCAGATAAATACGATCCGTTTAGTCGATTCAACGTGAAATGCGAATAATTCGTTTCAACGATTCTTAATGACTGATTCCTTATGATTATTATGTAAATAATCGTAAAGGAAGACAACGGGGGGAAATAATATTAAATAATAATAATAATAATAATAATAATAGTAATAATAGTAATAATAATAGAAAAAAGGCTTACTCGACGTCCGTCCGAGTGTTTCGGGCTCGGGCTAAGGCTAGGACTGGGACTGGGTGCCGGGCTAGGACCCTGATGTACGGCCTGTTGTTGGTGTTGAGACTGCTGATGATGCTGTTGCCTGTGGCTGTTACCGACTGATTTCTTCTCCTGGTGCCTCAGCGAGTGGAGACGTGCAGTCATCTTAGCAGGCCTCCACGGCCCTCAAAAACGACGTTCGCAGCACCCTACGTTCTTGTTTGGAGGTGGCCGAGGCACTCAGCATTTCGCGTATCACAGTGTCCAATGCGAATTAGATCGTACGTATATGGACTTTTCCGTGATCTCGATAAACAATAGTTCGTTCGTACGAGGTAATTTTTTTAAAAGAGTTTCATAGCAATTGGAAAACAATTTTTTTTTTTTCCTTTCTAGTTCGTTCTTTTCTCTTCTCACTTTCTTTCTCTTTTTACTCAAGGACAAAATTCTTTCTACGAGATTGAACGTCCAATTTTATTTCTCTGTTTTTATTTATTTTTTTTCTCCCTCCTTCGTTCCCACTTTAATGTCCCAGATTAACGCACTAGAAACTTCTCGATATATACAGTCAACAACACAAGTCGGACGAGGAAAGTCACCTCCACCTCCTAGGCGAAGAAATTTTCTCGCGATCGCGTTCGACACCCCGTGTGGGAGCACACAACACCGGCGCAAACACCAGCGGCCACGTGGTTGAAGCGCGCGTCGCCGACCACTTGTCACTCGCGAGATCGGGAGAGACGAGACGAGACGAGACGAGACGACGCGTGTCTCTCTCTCTCTCTCTCTCTCTCTCTTTCTCTTTTGATCGTTCCTTCTATATCTCTCTTCTCTCCTTTTTTCCAACCTCACGACACACAGAGTGGGAGAGATAGATAGATAGAGAAAGAGAGAACGTAGAATTAATTATTCGTACGATTAAAATCTCACGAACATCGTCCACCCCCGAAAGGAAAGAATCCAGTCTTAATTCTTTCTCGAAACTTTCTCGATATAGTTTTCACACACTTAAAAGACGTTATTCATATAATTTCCTTTTTCGTTTGTTCTTTTTTCTTTTCTACACCAAACCAAACAAATAATAATCCAAATAGTCAGACCAATATATATACATATACATACATACATACATATATATATATATGCTTCTTTCGTTCTTCTTAATCCAAAAGTGACACTCGTTGACAATGAATCTCACTCTTATCGATAACGATTTGCAATTGTCAAAGGATTCACCTCTCTCAGTTTATAATATATATATTATATATATATATATATATTCGTTTATTATTATTATTATAATTATCTTTTATAATGCGAAGAGAAAGATAGAGAGACAGACAGATAGAAAGAGAAAGAGTGAGTTAGAAAGAGAGAAAGAGAGAGAGAGAGAGAGAAAGAAAGAAGAAAGAAAGAAAGAAAGAAGAAAGAAAGAAAGAAAGAGAGAAAAAGAGATAAAGATTTGACACGCGAGCACGCGATAAATTCGCGTCCGTCGATACCCGGATGAAAAACGTTTCGCGATAAAGTGGAGCGAAGAAGAAGCCAGAAGGATGAACGTATTGTGTGTATATATATATACACACATATATATATATATATATATATATAGGGAGGAGGAAGAGGAAGAGAGAGCAAATGTGTCGCGCGTGCTCGCGCAAGGAGGAACGCTGACGGACTGTGAGGCGACGAGCGATCGCTGGCGGCTTTTCGCCGTGGTTGGCGCGTGTGGGTCGAGGAGGTGAGGGGCGCTCGCGCCGTGGTTGGTCGTGCGTGGGGCCGAGGGGTTGGGGGAGCGACGTTCTGGCGGCGGCGGTGGTGGCGGCGGCGGCGGCGGCGGCGGCGGTACTACTGTCGAGAGAGAAGAGAGCTTGGTTGGGAAGGGGAATGGCGGGGATGCCGGGGAGGAGAAGGGGTGGCGGTGGTGGTGGTGGTGGCGGTGGCGGACGGGCGGTCAGGAGGGGAGAGGGAAGACAAGGCTCGCTTGCCCGCTCACGCGCGCCCTTGCCTGCGGCTACGCGCGCTCTTTTCTTTCTTCTCTATCTCTCTCTCTCTCTCTCTCACTCTCTCTCTTTCTCTCTCTATCGTCCGCTCTCGGTCGTGTGCACCGCGTTCTCTATCATACACATACACATGGACATGTTTCGTGTTTGTTCATACTATCTTTCTCACTCGCACTTATAATTCGTGTGGACGTTTCTTTCTTTCTCTCTCTTTCTCTCTCTCTCTCTCTCTCTCTCTCTCTTTCGCTCGCTCGCTCGTTCTCTTGTTCGTGTTCTCTTTCTCGTTCTCGCTCTCGCTCGCTCTCTCGTATGCGTTCATTCTAAATCGTTCTCTCTCTTTCTCTCTCTCTCTCTCTTTTAAGCTGGTTCGTGCTCACTTCGCATCGCTCCTTTTTTTTCTCTCACGAGCGTGCGTGTTGCCTTCGTACCTCTCACGGCCGTTTTATTGCTCAGCAGCCACCGTCTCTCGCGGTGGCGTCGAAGCAGGAACCGATTTGGATATCGGCGTTTCTCTCCCTCTCTCTCTCTCTCTCTCTCTCTCTCTCTCTCTCTCTCTCTCTCTCTCTCTCTTTTTCTCTTTCCCTTTCCCTCGATGTTTTTTAGCTGTCTGCCCGGCGAAGAGTATCGCGGTTCTCTTCTCGCTCGAGAGCGCGCAAAATCGAACATTTTCGCTAGTGGAACATACTCGTTCCTTCGCGCGTAACGCGATATCTGCGTGGGAGCGGTAAATTTAACGCCCGCGTATCACGATATTCTCGCTTGAGACGATCAGAGAAAGAGAAACAGAATGAGAGAGAGAGAGAGAGAGAGGAAGGGAGGGAGAGGGGAAGGGGGAGAGAGAGAGAGAGATATAAAGACAGCTTCTAGTCAGCTCATTCGTGACCGACGCTGAACTTTTCCCTCGGCTCCGGTCATTATCGATGACTACGAGGACATCGGCCGTCGTTTCGATTAGACTTTCCTCCTTTCTCGTCGTTCACTGATTTAATTATTTTACATCGTAATGAGAGACTTTAAACAATCGTTTTTCCTCGTAAAAAAACATTAATTTACCGTACGATAAAAATCATATTTATTCCTTACTCTTTCTTTCTCTCTCTCTCTCTCTCTCTCTCCTCTCTTTTTCTCTCTCTCTCTCTCTCTCTTTCTCGAAGAAGAAGAAGAAGAATAATCCTCGCTTAAAACTGATAAGTTTTGTTGTTGTTGTTTTTGGTACGTTTAGAAAACTCTGACGACATGCCATATGTCGGTGGTGGTTGGGTGTTAGTAGAGAAGATTGGGAAGAAAAAAATGAAGTACCTACTTCGATATTATTTCATATGGATTATTATAATCGTTAAGAACTTTGATTCCCGTTGGAAGATTACAATCGTCTTTTCGATAAAAGACTCTCGAAAGAACGTAAAGAGCACGATAGGAAAGATCGTATCGTGATTGTTTCGTACGCGTTTATATTGTTCTTTCGTTCGATTCACGAGATACCGATTGAAGGAGTACTCTTCTTCTTTCTTACTCTCTCTATCTTTATCTTGGTGGGGTCTCTATAAAGAGAAATTAAGAAGAAGAAAAAAGAAAGATAAGATAAAATTAAAATTAAAAATAATAAAAATATAAATAGACGAATAAAAAAGAATAAAAGATGAAAAAAGGAAGACATTAGCAGGCGTCTGCCGATGTCACCGATGCTAGGAATTTTATTACACGCTCTCGAAGAGAGAACTAATAGCGATTTCCAAGTACGTTCGTATCTATCTACGTATGTACTATCTATCTATGTATGTATGTATGTATGTATGTATGTATGTATGTATGTATGTATGTATGTATGTATGTCTATATATGCATGCATTTACGTATATACGTATGTATATATACCGACCGACAGACAGTTAGTTCGTGCATGCTACTAGCCAGCCAGCTTAAAATCGTTGCGCGTGTGGCGTAATTTACAAGAATACGTGCGCGCACCCACACATACACACACACATAAACATACACACGCACACACACACATATATATATATATATATGTAGAAATGATTTCAATCGCTTTTGCGTTGTTCCACCGAATTCCACGCGAGGAAAGTTCGCGTTTGATCAAAGAGAGCCGCCACCACGACGACGTAGCCTAAAGCCGAGTTGAATCGCACGCTCGGCTCGTATCGTATCGTACAGTAGTAATAACGTTGATGATGGTGTAGGTGGTAGTAGTAGTAGTCGTAGTAGTAGTAGTAGTAGTAGTAGTAGTAGTAGTAGTAATAATAGTAGTAGTAGTGGTGGTGGTAGTGATAGTGATAATAAACGTATTGGCGCCTTGCAAACGATAAGACTTTGCCTCGTTATCATCGACATACATACATATATATACACATACATACATACATATATACATGCGTGCATAGAAAGTGGCCGCGTATATTTCTACAGATGCATATATATATATATATATATATGTACATGTATAGGAAGCGTGCGAGAAGGAAGTTTCTACGCGCGACGGACGGCGCGCGATAAGCATCGTTTAGGTTCCGACGACGGCCTTTAATCTCTTCCCGTCTCGTCTCGTGAGCGAAAAGACGACGACGACGACAACAACGACGAAAACGACGAAGACTACGAAGACTACGACTACGACGACGACGATGACGACGACGACGACGACGACGACGACGACGACGACGACGACGACGACGACGACGACGACGACGACGACGACGACGACGACGAGGAGAGAAGGAGGAAGAGAAGAAGAAGTACGACGTCATGTGGACGTTCAGAGAGAAAGAGAGAGCGAGAGAGAAAGACAGGAAGAGAGAGGGAGATAGAGAGACATGCGTGTATGTATCTCTGATCCTTGTGTGTGTGTGTGTGTGTGTATGTGCGAGCGTGTGAGACGCGCGATCAACGAGGGTAGAGAGCGGCCGACGACGGCTTTGGTGGAATAAGAGGAGGAGGAGGAGGAGGAGGAGGAGGAGAAAGAGAAAGAGGGGTCGTGGCCTGAGGCAAGAGGAGAGAGAGAGAGAGAACAGCTCAAGAGAGAGGCCGAGAGGCGATGAGCCCTCGGGGCGGTGGCCGTTTCGTGGGCGGCCGAGAGGAAAGGAGAGGAAGAGTCGGGAGGAACTCGGCGTGGCGCGGCTCGATGCTCGAGCTGGTTGAGAAGGAGGAGGAGGAGGAGGAGGACGTATGGAGGTGGAGGAGAGTCAGGCTGAACGAGCGTGCGACGCCGGCGGGCTTCGCGAGACGTGGCGGAGGAGCAAGAGAGGATGAAGAGGAGGATGAGGGAGAAAGAAAGAGAGAATGAAAAAGAGAGAGAGAGAGAGAGAGAAAGAGAGAGAGAGAGAGGAGGAAAGGTCTCGTCGGCACGCGCGCCGCGAAGTGCGCTCTACCCACGCAAACGTGCCACGCGCATACACGCGCGAACGAACTCTCGTGCGTGAGACCGTGCGTGAGAACGCGTCGCTTCGTGCTCGTCCTCTTTCTCTGACTCTCTCTTTCTCTTTCTCACTCTCTCTCTCTCTCTTTCTCTCTCCCTCTCTCACTTTAGGTTCTTTCTACGGATGACTGTATGCTTTTATTTGTGTATGTCTGCGTGAATCTGATGTGAATATGTGGTGCGTGTATGTGTAAGCGTGAATGTGGTGTGCACGCGTGCATGTGTGCGCGCGCGCGCGCGCGTGTATGGGAAGAGTACTGGGTAGGTCGACGCCGGCGGACGGTCAATCGTTTCGAAATTTTGCACGCGCCCGGCCTCCGCGAAGCGACTTTGAATCGTCCGTAGACCCCTTCGAATCCACTTTTTCCCTTTTCGAATCCTTTCGGAGAAATCTTTACAGACGGCTCGATATCCGATCGATAGATACGCTCTCCGTTTTCTCTCCTCTCCTCATCTCTGCGAATTCCATAATATCCAATAGGCCGTTCTATATTTTTTAAGAGATCTTGTATCTCTTAAAAACTCCCTCCTTCCCTCCTTCCTCCTCCCTTTCTCTCTCTCTCTATCTGTCTATCTATCTCAGACTCTCCCTCCTTCCCTTCCTCCCTTCCCACTCTCTGTCTTTCTCTGTGTGATCGATATAAATAACTGATCTTATTTTTTTTTGCGCTTTATCGATCTTCGTTCCTTTATCGAAAGGATATCGTACAAGTTTTCTTATATATACACACACAATCCACACACACACACACACACATATATATATATGTGTGCGTGTTGATTGTGATAACGCGTTATCATCTTTTTTCATTCTTGGAAACATCGATCGAGATGATCGATAAAAATGATGGATAAAAGATCAATCGTCGTGGTAATC